AAAAACAAGCCAGTGGGCAAAAGAAGATGTTTGTCTTTCTGGAGCTGCGACCATGCTCCCTGCAGCCCAGGGAACAGCCCAGCAGCAGTTGCATCTCATCACTACTCAGGTATCCCTTCCTCACCTGAGCATGAAGCAGCACAGACCCCTCCAGCCAGCAGCCTGTCAGGGTCAGGTCTTGTCCCCTTCTTGGCCCTGCTGCCGGCACGTCTCTGCTCTCTGCAGAGATGCAGCTGTGATGCCATCCTCAGTGGGACAGTCTGCCACTGGTCCAGAAGCATGACATGGCCCAGCATACAGCGCTGGCTCTCCCTCAAGGGCCAGAGGGGTGCAAGGTGACCTTGGGTAGGAAGAGGTCTTCTCCTAAGGGCCAGACACATGCATTCAAAAACTACTGGTACACATACACGTGCACAGACACACACAGGACTTGCAGCTTTGCAGGTACAATTGCTGCCTTTGAGCCAGGATGCTTTTATTGAAAAGACCCTGCCACAGGAGTTGCTTATCCCATCCCTTCCCCACCTAGTCCTACAGCAGGAGCTGAGCAGCACCTGGAAGGAAGAGTCCTGAAAGTGCTTTTATTGGGAGGTTTATTCCTGGAAGACGCTGGATCCTGTGATGCTTGAGTCCAGGGCTGCAGAGCCAGCACATGGCAGGCTGCAGAGCAGAGCATGGAGGGAGAGCAGCAGCCAGGGCAGCAGACAGCCTCCTTGTATCATCCTGTTCCCTCTGAGACCTTGCAGGTCTCACCACATTGCCTCCTCCAGGCAGCACAGGCACTGTGCTGCTCACAGAGTGATCAGCAGCTCCCCATAAACAGCCTGAATGTGCCAGCACCGAGCCCTTACTGGGGACACGGTGCAGCCACAGCCATGCCCTGGCACTGCCCATTCCCCCAGCTCTGTGGGGCTCCCACCAGCAATCCCTGCCCTGGCTGCAGGCTCTGCGGGCTGGCCAGGCACTGAGCCAGTACTCACTTCTCATCCTCATTTGTGTCTTTGTCCTCCGTAGTAGAGAGAGGCTTCAAAGTCCCTGCATGGCCATGACAGGGTGCAGTGGAGCCCTGTTCTCCAGCAGCAATCCACTCTTCTTCCCCTGTGCTGACTGGGCCCAGCCCCACAGACAAACACTCCTGCCACCTGGCCACAGCTCCCCTGGTAGCACTGGGGCAATGCCTGCACTGCCCCATCCCCTCGGCCTTGGGGCCTAGAGGGGAGCAGCTCCCGTTCTCCACAGGCAGCTCCCCAAGCCCAGACAGGCGGCTGAGAGCAAGGTCTGTCCCAGGTTGACACCAGGCAGGCATCCAGTGCCACGACTGCACCCAGGGCTTCGGCCGAGCCGGGGCACAGGGACGAGGCCACCCCTCAGGCCATTGCACTGCCCCCTCGGCTCCCCCCACAGCCGGTGGTGTGGCCCCCCACCCGCTCTCAGCTTCATGCTCCGCAGTGGCAAGGGAGCGGCGCCAGGCGTGAGGGGTGGGCAGGGCCATGCTCTGCATGCACAGCTGGGAGCTGGCTCCATGCACATCCCCAGACAGGTGCCCTCGGGAAAGTGGGAGTTCTGATACGTGGCTCGTTGCATGCTGAGTTCCAGGCCGGGCGCCTGGTGCTGCCTCTTCTTCCAAGGCCTGCTTTGGCTCTAGCAGGACACCCAGGACCCCAGATGCAGAGCTGGTGCTGCACTTACACCTCGATGATATTGACCGAAGGAGATTTCTTCTGTGAGAGAAAAATCTGCTTTAAGGCCCTGCTTTGCTGTGCCCCTGGGATCAGATCCCTTGGCAGAGCCCCCCAAGCCCACAGCAGGCACCAAGAACTCAGCAGAACAGGGTCAGTTTGCAGTAGGGATCCAAGAGGAGGGATCTCTGGCAAGGAGTAATCAAGAAGCTGGAAAATCTGGAGGAGGGGAACTGGGGCCTTGAAGTCCCAACAGGAAGGTTCTGTTCCTGACATCCGCTGGAAACCAAGATGTGGAATCAGTGGGGCAGTCAGGCAACACAGTGAGGGGAGTTCCCACCATTGACAGAGGCGGCAGATGAGACACAAGCAAAAACCTAATGCACAGTCCCATTAGAGCATCAGGGCTATAAATCCCTGTCTTTGGTAGGTAACAAAGGGAGAAGTGTCAGGTGCTGAGGGAACAGCCAGATGAAGGTACTCCTCCCTTCCCATCCACAGCCTAGCACATCTCCATCAGGGTGGGGAAGGGGCTCTGGAATGACTCGTGTGGTGATAACCTGGAGTAAGCTGTGGTGAAGGCAGAAAGTAAGCAGTGACAGACCAGTGCAGGAACCCAGGAACAGCTGCCCAGCCTGTCCACTCCTGCCTTGAACAGGCAGGAGCCAGACCAGTCCATTGGTGCAGAGAGGTGCAGCCTTGGAGGCGCATGGTGAAGGGTCTGTTACAGTGAGAGAACAGAGTGGGTAAGAGCCATCCCAGCTGACATATCCTGTTGTCTCTTCAGTGTTTCTCCTGCAATCACCCATGGGGCACACACAGTGCCCCAGAGAGACCAGGACTCACTGCACCCTAAAACCCCTCAGTCTTTAGGGTGAGAGTGTAAGCCGGGGTGTTTCTGTTTCTGGAGAGATTCAGAACCTGTGGAGGCTGCAAGCCCCAGCAGACATCACATGCCATCCTTCCTGCCAGCCCTCCCGACTCACCTTGCTCCGCAGCAGCCCTCCGCTTGGTCGCTCTGGTGTGCTGTGCTCTGAGGACGGCTTTGTCTTCTCCTTGTTGTTGTTGGAGTCGTTATCCTTGATGATGTCATACTGTCTGCAGAACAGGGCAATCACCGCTGCCAAAAGACAGACGGGATGAAGGACTCCCTCGCACTGGCCGTGCCTGCCTCCCCTCCCTACAGCATCCCAGCTGCAAAGCAGTGACACCCAGGGCTCCCCTGGGTGCTGCACACCCACACCCCTCAGTGGCACCCAGGGCTCCCCTGGGCGCTGCACACCCACACCCCTCATGTATCAGCCTGCACCACCCAAGGCACCTCTGCACGTGAGGCTGGGCCAGTCTCCTCGGGCAGACAAGCATGGATGTGGCCGAGGCCACTGGGGCACATGGGACATGCTCAGTGCTCAGCAAGGGCAGATGCTCAGGCACTTGGAGAGGAACAGTGAGGTCAGTGAGCAGTTGGCTGGGTTTTGGAGTATCTCCAGCAAGGCACTAAAG